TCGCATCTCCCTGTATCTCCGTGTGTCTCCCCATATCTCCCCGGCTCTCGTTGCTGCCACAGGTACTCGCGCGCGCACGCGCCCCTCGTGCACGCGCAGCAGCTCTCCGAGGTCGAAGAGCTGATCGAGTACCGCGTGCTGCAGGAGACCGCTCCAGCCGGGAGACCGCTCCAGCCGGGAGGCAGTCGTCGGCGGGTCGGCAGCAGCGAGGAGGGAAGGAGTGACGGCGGAGCGGAGGCTGGCCCGCGCGCGAGAGGAGGCTGGACACGGCACACACACGTCTCGTGCCCACCTCTTGAGCAGATCGCGGTCCCGCGTCCGGCAGGAGGGGCTCGCCGCGCGCCGCGCGCCGGCACGGCCGCTCGACGGGCCTTCGCACGCCGTGCGAGCAGCCGCCGCTTCCGACCCCCTCGCCGCCGCCGCCTCCTCCTCCTCCTCCGCCCGCGCGGTGCTGGGCGCCGACGACGCGGCGCGCGCAGACGAGCGGTGCGAGGCTGCAGCAGCTGTGAACGGCGTCTCTTCACACCTGCGGCTGTGAAGCAGGCGCGCGCCGACGAACGGTGCGAGGCCATCCGGCTGCGGTGGCGCGACCGGCTGCGCAACTGCTCGAGCGAGCTGCGTGCGTGGCAGCCGCTCATCGAGCTGCGGGCGATGGCGCTGGCCCCGCTGCAGCAGATGGAGGCGTGGATCAAGTTCGGCTCGCTGTGCCGCAAGTCGGGCCGGCTCGAGCTCTGCCGCACCTCGCTCTCCAAGCTGCTGCCTCCCGGCGCCCCGATCGGCTCGTTGCCTGTCTACCAGCAGGCGATGGGCGAGGGGTCTCAGGTGGCGGCACCCCAGCTGCCGGGCGCCCGTCTCCCGACGTAGCACTCGAGCAGACACGTGTTCCGCTGCACTGCCGGCCGTCTTCTTCGCCTCTTGCGCGACGCGCCGAGTGCCACACGCGGCACGGCACCCTGCTCACAAGCTCCCCGACTCTCGCCCCCCTCGCAGGTGGATCTCCCCATATCTCCCCATATCTCCCCATATCTCCCCTCGCAGGTGGCGAACGCGCTCGACGGCGCCGCGCCCGAGCTCGTCTACGCGTACGCAAAGTACCTCTGGGTGACCAACGCGCAGGCGGCAGCCATCGGGCTGCTCATGCAGCTGCTCGCGCGCTCCGCGGCGGCGCCGCCGGCGCAGCCCGCCGCCAGCGCGTCGTCGCCAGAGCCGAACGCCACTCCCGGCGCCGCCGCCGCCGCTGGCGGCCCCGGGCCCGGCCCCCCCGCCGACAGCGGCGGCGGCGCCGCCGCCTCGGCCGCAGGACTTGCGGGCGCGCCGCCGCCGACGCCGCCGCGCTTCCCGTCGTGGGCGGTCTCGGCCGAGGCGGGCGCGGCCGCTTGGACGTCGTCGCTGTCGGCGTGCTCCGCCGCAGAGGCTCTGCTCGAGGAGCTCGAGGACTCTGGCACGCCGCTCGCGCCCGAGACGCTCGACCGCTCGGGCGAGTCCGCGCCGGCGTGGCTCGGCGCGCCGTCCGCCGCGCCGATGAACGCGGATGAGCATGCGAGTCTGCCTGCAGCTGGGCTCGTGGCAGATGGCGCAGGCAGGCGAGCAGCTCGACGAGGCGACGATCGCCCGCGTCCTCGCCTCGTACTCCGCCGCCGTCCGGTACGGGCCGACAGCCTACAAGGCGTGGCACGCGTGGGCGCTGATGAACGTCACCGCCATCGCGCGGGTGGCTGCGGCGGACGCGCAGCCGCCCGCGGCCGCGGCGCCGCCCCTTCCCCACGCGCCGCTCGCGCCGCCGCTCGCGCCGCCGCTCGCGCCGCCGCCCGCGGCGGCCGAGCGCACGATTGGGCACGTCGTCTCTGCGCTGCGGGGCTTCTTCCGCTCGATCACGCTCGGCGCGCACCTCGAGCAGAGCCTGCAGGACCTGCTGCGGCTGCTCACCCTCTGGTTCCGCTACGGCGGCGACGCGCGCGTCGACGCCGCGCTCAGCGACGGGTTTGCGCTCGTGCACGTCGACACGTGGCTGCTCGTCATCCCGCAGATCATCGCGCGCATCAACGCGCCGCAGCCGCGCGTGCGCAAGGCGGTGCAGAACCTGCTTCTCACCGTCGGCCGCCTCCACCCGCAAGCGCTCATCTACCCGCTCGCGGTCGCCTCGCACGAGTCGCGCCCGCGCCGCGAGGCGGAGCGCTCGACCGCCGCGTCGCCGAGGCCGGACGGCCGGCAAGCCGCCGCGGCCACGTCGCTGCCGCTCTTCAGCATGGGGCGCACCTCTCCGCGCCGAGGCGACGCTTGGCGCTGTCCGCAGTGACCCACCGCTGACGGCTCAACACTCATTCATAGGCGCATCTCGCACGCCGAGGCGACGCTGACGATGATGCGCGCCCACTGCGACACCCTCGTCGAGCAGGCGCTTCCCGCCTCCGACGAGGTGGACCGCGCGTCGTGCGCCACACGGCCCGTCGCTCATGAATACCTTCATGAATACCAGGCGCTGCTCGTCTCCAACGAGCTGATCCGCGTCGCCATTTTGTGGCCCGAGCAGTGGCACGAGTCGCTCGAGCAGGCTCGCCGCCGCTAGAGATCTGAGCGTCGGCCTAGCGAGGCATGGCTCAAGCAGCGATCAACTCATAGGCCTACCGCCGCTACTTTGAGCAGCCGCACGCCGGCGAGCCGCGCGGCATCGAGTCGACGCTCGCGGTGCTCGCGCCGCTCTACGCGCGGCTCGAGGCGGGCGCCTCGACCGCGCACGAGGCGGATTTTGTCGCCGCCTACGCCGCCGACCTGCGCTCCGCCCTCGCGCACTGCCACGAGTTTCGCTTGTCGGGCGACGAGGCGCAGCTGCAGGCGGCGTGGACGCGCTTCTACGAGGTGTTGCGCCAGCTCGGCCGGCAGCTGCAGCAGGCGCGCACCCTCCTCCTCCTCCCCCTCCGAACCTGGACATGTCCGGGACACGTCCATTCCACGTCCGAGACGTGCGTGCGTGTGTGTGTGCCTCTCTCACAGGCGCGCACCCTGCAGCTGCGCGACGTCTCGCCGCGGCTTCTCAAGGCGACCAACCTCGAGATCGCCGTGCCGGGCACCTACCGCGCCAACGCGCCCGTCGTCGCGATCCGCTCCTTCGCGCCCGCGATCCGCGTAATGTCCTCCAAGCAGCGGCCGCGCAAGCTGGCGGTGACGGGCGACGACGGCGTCGAGTACGTCTTCCTGCTCAAGGGGCACGAGGACTTGCGGCAGGACGAGCGCGTGATGCAGCTCTTCGGCCTCGTCAACGCGCTCCTCGCCTCGACCGACGACGGCGCGCGGCTCGACCTCGGCATCCAGCGCTACTCGGTCGTCCCGCTCTCGACCAACTCGGGGCTCATCGAGTGAGACGGAGCCGAGAGGCGGCCGAGATGTGTGACGCGGCCAGGACGGAGCCGAGATGTGGCCGAGCTGCCGTCGAGCGCCCCGTGCCGCGGCGGCACGACCGCCGGGGGGGGGCCACGCCGCCAACGCCGACGCCGCTCTCACGCGCCGCGCTGCGCGGTGGACGCCAGGTGGGTGCCGCGCTGCGACACGCTGCACACGCTCGTGCGCGCCTACCGCACGTCGCGCTCGGTGCTGCTCAACGTCGAGCACCGGCTGATGCTCCACTTTGCGCCCGACCTCGAGTCGCTCACGCTGCTGCAGCGGATGGAGGCCATCCGGGCGCGCGCTCTCGCGGCCCGTCCAGGGCACGCCCGCGCGACCTGCCCGCGGCTTGTCCGATAGGCCTTCCAGCACGTGCTCTCGCACACCGAAGGGATGGACCTCGCGCGTGTGCTGTGGGTCAAGGCGCCTCACCTCGGGTCACCTCGGGTCCCCTCTCTGGTCACCTCGGGTCCCCTCGGGTCCCCTCTCTGGTCCCCTCGGGTCCCCTCGGGTCACCTCGGGTCACCTCGGGTCCCCTCGGGTCCCCTCTCTGGTCACCTCGGGTCCCCTCGGGTCCCCTCAGGTCACCTCTGGTCACCTCTGGTCATCTCTGGTCACCTCTGGTCATCTTGGGTCACCTCGGGTCACCTCGGGTATAATCTCGGGTCCCCTCGGGTCACCTCGGGTATAATCTCGGGTGATCTCGCGCGGTGCTGTGGGCCAAGGCGCCCTCCTCCGAAGAGTGGCTCGAGCGGCGCTCCCACTTCTCGCGCTCGCTCGCCGTCATGTCGATGGTCGGCCACATCCTCGGCCTCGGCGACCGCCACCCGTCCAACCTGATGCTGCACCGCTTCACGGGCAAGACCGTGCACATCGCCTCTGGCGGCTGCTTCTCGGAACCTGCTCGGGACCTGCTCGGAGCCTTCCCGTAGGCAAGATCCTGCACATCGACTTTGGCGACTGCTTCGAGGTTGCGATGCGGCGAGACAAGTACCCCGAGACGGTGCCCTTCCGGCTCACGCGCATGCTCGTCGCCGCGATGGAGGTGTCGGGCGTCGAGGGCACCTTTCGCGCGACCTGCGAGGCGGTCACGTCCGAGGCGCATGTCCCCCACCCCTCTCGGGGCCTTCCCCCTAGGCACCTTTCGCGCCACTTGCGAGACGGTCATGTCCGTGCTGCGCCGCAACAAGGACTCGGTGATGGCGATGCTCGAGGCCTTCATCCACGACCCGCTCATCAAGTGGCGGCTGCTGCAGGCCCACCCGGCCGCGGCGGCGGCGGCGGCCGCCGCCAGCGGCGCCGCCAGCGGCGGCGCCGCCAGCGGCAGCGCCGCCACCGCCAACGGGACGACGTCTCAGTCGACTGCGACCACCGCGGCGGGTGGCGCAGGCACCGGTGCTGGCGGCGGCGGCGGCGGCGGCACCGCGGTGGGTGGCAGCGAGAGCGGCGGCGGCGCGGAGAGCAGCGGCGGCGGCGGCGGAGGCGAGGGCGAGGGCGACGGCGCGGAGAGCGGCGGCGGCCAGAGCGGCGGCGGTGGCGGCGAGGGCGGAGGCGGTGGGCGCGGAGGCGGCGGAGGCGAGAGCGGCGGTGGCGGTCGCCACCGACGGCTGGCGGCGGCCGAGCCGGGGGGCGCGGCGGAGAGAGGCGGGGCCTCGAGCACGACGAGCTCGAGCGACCTCGAGTCCTGCAGCGACGGCGCGAGCGCGGAGGAGGAGGCGGGGGAGCGGGCGGACGCCTCCACGGCGCAGCGAAGCACCGGCGGCGTGCGCGCGTCGCTGCCGCCCTCGCTCGTCGCCTCGCTGGAGGAGTCGTTTGGCTACTCGCTCGACCCCCTGCAGATCTCGGAGGGCGTCGCGCCGACGCCGCTGGCGGCTGTGCGCCAGAAGCTGTGGGCGTCTCGCGCCGCCGAGGAGCGGATCGCGTCGCTCTCGCAGCCGCAGCCGCCGCAGTTCGCCGCCCAGCCAGAGGGGGGCGGCGAGCCGCACGCACTCAACGAGCGCGCGGTGCGCGTGATCCGGCGCGTCGACAACAAGCTGACCGGCCGCGAGTTCGGCGAGCAGCTCACCGTTGCCGAGCAGGTGCAGCGGCTCATCGAGCAGGCGACTTCGAACCAAAACTTGTGTCAGTGCTACACCGGCTGGTGCCCGTGGTGGTGACACTGACAGCTCCGGACGGCATCATGACATGAATGGCGAATCTCTACGTGAATCGGTCTCGTTGCGCATGTGTGTGTGTGGATCTGGCGGTACGTTTTGGGGATGAAGCGTGATATGTACGAGAGATTTGTCCCACCCCTCCCCCCCTTTCCGTCAAGCAAAGCCGGCGAAAGCCACAATTGGGGCATTGGCGGATGGCGCGGGCCGTCACGCACGCATCACGCAAAGCAGTGTGTCGCAGCAGATGGCAGATCGACGACACCTCGCTTACACAACTCACAGCTCACAGGCTTCACAACAGATGCCGTCGCTGCCGTGCATTGCGGCGCCACAAAGGGATAAGTAACGTTACAACCGGGTTTGTTACCAAAAAGCACTGTGCCATGCCACATCTGCTTAAAGGCAACGGGACTGGATGCTCACGAGACCACGGGATCGCGCCGGAGAGCTCGCCTGTAGCGAACTAATCGAGCCTGAGGTGGAACACACGCTGCACCTCGTTGGCATTTGTCCTAGGCCCGTGCAAGTCAAGCTATTGCTCTCCCAATCCTCGTCGCCCCCCTGGCCAAACATGGCCGTCAACTTGCGAGGATCGATCTCACGGTAGATGAGCCCAAATTCAAATTTGATAGCTGTGACTGCGCTCAAACTCAGGCCTTGCGGCCACCCACCTTCCGCCCCCCCGCGGCTGTCATCCGGAAGGCGGGTGTCATCCGGAATTCCAACTTCCCATAGTCCAAACGGACTCCTGGCTGGTCTATCGCAGTCCCAATCCATTCCGTTGTGCAGCGGGCAGAACTCGGCCGTAGACGCAGAAGGGTGGGGGCTGATGGAGTACATGAACATTAACGTCCTCGAGTCTATCGTGCTTGCGGGAATGTATTCCCAGACACTCCTGTCCTTTCCCAGAAACGACTCAGTGCCAAGTTTGGTGATGGAGAGCGTTATTTTGGCTACGGCCTGCTGTTGAAGCAACGCTGACATGTTGCCGCGGTCAAGCTCGAGGTAGACGCGCACGTTTTTCATCTGAACACGGTAGAAGTTGCAGTCCTTTGCCATGGGGACACGAATGGTAGTCTTGTTGGTGCGCACCAACTCTTCGAACACTAGCGGGTTGCGATCGCGTACGAGTCGGAAACCCATGCTGTCATAACAGTGGGGCGGCTCGGACGCCCGGCTGGTTTTTACGCGCGCCTTTGCTTCCTTCAGACGTCTCTGTATCGTTGCTAGCTGTGCCGATGTTACCGGAGCCTCAAGCTTGGGATCAAAGGGTTCCAGAGCCCAATACTCGAATGCGGATATTTGCGCGCGCAGGTATCGAAGTGCGAGGTACCCGAGCTGGTCCTGCTGCCAGTCGAGAGCGTCACGAGCCACGTCCTCTTCACGAGACGCGTTCTTGAGCAGCTGAAACTTCAGCTTGGTCGCATTCCTCCTGGCCTTCGTGTCCTGCAATGTCATCTGGGCCTGTACCCACTGTCCGATCAGCTGATTGCGGTCCTTGACCCCCTCCGACAGCTGTGCAAAGTAGGCGGAGAGTCCGTGGTCTGCAAGGTTGCTTTGGTAGTCCTCCAGCGCGCGATCGGCAACCTGTGCGTGTACAGGCAGCAGCGGGGTCATTAACTCCGGGCGTGACCGGGGAGGCGCGAGAGTGGATCAGGGACCGGGAGTCAGCACCTTCTGGTCGAAAGCGTCGAGATAGAGCCGCGGCAGGGAGACGTCGAGCGGCACTTCGTCGAGCTGCAGCACAAATTCGGTCTGCATCAGCGCACCGAGACGGGACGTGTAGTTGTGCAGCAAGGCACTATGCTTTGCAAGCGTGTCGATGTGCGACTGCTTCTCTTGGACGGCTGGCGTGTAAATCTTATCAACCATCCTCGACAGCCCTTCATTGTAACTGTTGGCCACGTGCAAGTGCATATATTTGCATTCATCCGCTTCGTCGACCAAACCTAGCATGGAGGGAACATTACGCAAGCACTGGGCAACGAGCCCGAGATCAGGGTGCGTCGTGCACATTCCCTCGGTGACCTCATGTAAGATCCAGCTGGCATCCCTCCACACTTCCAGAGCCGCACCAGCCACCGCGTCCCATATGGACGGGGAGCCCGCCTGCCGCGATTTTGGGGTCGGGGGGCTCTCACCCGGTCGGCTTTGGTGGGTGTCAAAGGAGGGGCGAACGCCAATGGAGCCATCAGCGTAGACAACGAGCGCATGCTGGAAGTGTGAAAGAAGCCACGGCGTGGACGGAATGGGATCGTCCTCGAAAATGACGCGTGTCAGGTCGAGTGACACGTACTGCCGACCGCCCTCTACATCTGTGACTTTGCGACCGGCCTCAAAGGGGTTCTGGGGGTCCGGCCTCCTCGCGTGCGGCATGGTTTTCTCTAAAGCCCTCAATACAACTACCATGAAGGGAGCGGTCACGACAAACGGCAAAACTGCTTGCTGTCGGCTGAAAAGGCGACATGATGGTGTTTTACCGCCAGGGGTCGCGCATGAGTGAGGGCGACGGCTGACGATGGGGCGCATCGAAAAGAAGTCATACGAACGTTACGACTTTTACGATGGATCGTTCCGACGGGCGCCGGCTAAGCCTTTCAGAGCGGCGCCCCGAATATTGGCGCCCCTCCTCGTGCGGCTGCCCGCTCCCTGCTCCTGTGTCGTGCTCATCCCACCGTCCACCCCTTGCGCCTCCATGTGTATAGTATTGCCGCCTCCTTCGGGCCGGGGGGGGTTCTGGGGGTCCGGCCTCCTCGCGTGCGGCATGGTTTTCTCTAAAGCCCTCAATACAACTACCATGAAGGGAGCGGTCACGACAAACGGCAAAACCTCGTGCGTTTCACGGCCTCGGGACCGCCTCGCGCGACAAACCTGATCCTCGTGGCGATGAGCGCCTCTGGCCCTCCGCGCGAGCCGTCGAGAGCGTCGGACAGGACCTGCATCGTCGTCGGCGCAGGCGCCGCTGGGCTATCGTGCGCGCTGCGGCTGCAGCAGCATGGGGTCCGTGTGACGCTTCTCGAGGCGGCGGATCGAGTTGGCGGCCGCTGCTTGACCACTTCGGTGGGCGACCTTGGCGTGTTTGAACTCGGAGCACAGTGGTTCCACGGTCAGAAGGGAAACCCAGCCTTTGCGCTCGCCGAGTCGCTCGGCCTCACGCCGCAGACACCAAAGCGACGCGCCACGACGCCACGACACCTCCGCAGCGACGGGCGGCCAGCGAATGCAGACGTGAGCTTGCCACTGCCCTTTGGCGGCACCGCGCTCGCGGCACACACACACCCCACTCCCATGCACGTGTCTCGAACACCCGATGGCATGTGTGTGCGTATCCAGGTGGTGCGGTCGGCGAGCCGTCTCCTCTTTGAGACGGTCTCCGAGCTAGAGGCGGGCCGCGGCGGTGCGCACGCCTCGGTCGGCGCCGCGGTGCGTGCCGCTTGGGAGGCTGCGCGGCCCGGCCTCCTCGCGAGCCACGGCGACGGAGGTCCCCCTCCCCTCCCCTCCCCCTCCCCTCTCCCTTCCCTGCTCGAACGCGGCGCGCCTGCCGCCCCGCGCAGCCCTGCTCGACGCGGCGTGGGAGGCGGCCGAGAAGCTGCAGTGCGCCATCGACGGCTGCGGCGACCTGGCCGACGAGTGCGCGGGCGTCGCGTACGCCAGCTACGACGACTTTGACGGCCGACACGTCCCGTCGCGTCCGGACCTCGGCGGCTTCTCAAAGGCGTTGGAGGCGCTGGCCGCACCGCTGCGCGCGAGCGGCGCGCTGCTGCAGGGGCGGGCGGCGCGAGCGGTGCGCTGGGGCGACGCTGTCGAGGGCGGCGGCGTCGAGGTGGCCACGCGGAAGGGCACACCTCGCAGCACTCACGTCTCCCTCTCTCTCTCTCTCTCTCTCTCCCTCTCTCTCTCTCTCTCTCTCCCTCTCTCTCCCTCTCTCTCCCTCTCTCTCCCTCTCTCCGCTTGACACTGCACTCTGCCAGCGAAGATTCACGGGACAGCTCGCGGTGAGCGCCCTTTGTGGAAGCGTGCGCAAAGGGCGTGAGCGCAACGCGGCGGCAATAGGTGGACGTGGAGGGGAGCGACGGCCGCGCCGCCACCCACAGCGCGGCGGCGGCGTGCTTGTGTGTGCCGCTTGAGCCGCTGCGCCGGCTGCGGCTCGAGCCGCCGCTCAGCGAGGCGAGATTACCCGAGATTACGCGAGATCACGCGAGATCACCCGAGATCACCCGGTTACCCGAGTCGTTGCTCTTGCGAGGCGAGGGCGGGTGCGATGCGGCACTTTGCGTGCGGCGCGGTGGAGAAGATCTTCGTGAGCGTGGAGCGGCGCCGACCGGAGGCGGAGGAAGGGGGGGAGGGGGAGCTGCCCTCCCTGCACCTGCTCTGGACGGAGCCGGCCCGCGGCTCCACGGCGGACCCCCTCGCCGGCGGCTGGACGCGAGGCTTGTACTCGCTGCACCGCGCCGACGCCTCGAGCGGCGAGGGCGCCGCGGCCAGCTTGCCGAGCGGCTGGTCCCGGAGCCGGTGCGTGCTCGTTGGCTGGCTGACGGGGGAGAGCGCGCGCGCCGTGAGCGGGCGGCCGTCGCGCGAGCTGCTGCGCGAGCTCGAGGCGGGGCTGGCGCCCTTTTGGAGGCTGCTGCCGTCGTGGCGGCCTGTGGCGGTGCACGCCACCTCGTGGACCGCGAACCCCCTCTTTGGAGGCAGCTACTCATACCCGCGCCCCGCGGCGCCCGCCGACGCCGCCGATCGACTGGCTGCGCCGCTCGTCTGCGGCGGGCTCCCGACCGTTTGCTTTGCGGGCGAGGCGACGCACACTCGCTGCTTTGGCACGGTGGCCGGCGCGATGCTTTCGGGCGAGCGCGAGGCGGAGAGGCTGCTGACCGCCTGGGATATGCATGTGGAGGACCCAGAGGGCTCAAGGCACTTGGAGCACTTGGAGTGCAGGCGAAGCATATTTTGATATCGTGGGTTACCCTTCACACAGATAGGTTGATAAGAATTTCTACAAATAGGACTAAAAGGACAAGCCCCTCCTCTCACAGCTGACTGATAAGAAAAACAAGAAGCTCACCCCGCAGACTTACCGAGACGTCAGCACTTTTCGTCGTCAAAGAGCAGCGCATGAGCGCATCGAGGTCGTCGTTTGCGATGCGGACCGGTCGTAACCATCGTCGTCGTCGGACTCGTACGCGGGCCCGCGGTCGTCCTGGTCGGACGTGCACTCGTCTTCGTCGGACGAGTACTCGCTGTCCTGCTCGGCTTGCACGGCGCGGAGCGAGTGCACCCAGTGCGGGGCACCGTCATCCGTCTCCATGCGAAGCCAATCGCGCACGCGGCGGTAGAAGCGGTCACCCTCGGGGTCGAACTCGTTGAACCCGAAGTAGTTCCAGCTCCACCACACGCGGTCGGCGGCGCGCGACAGGATGTAGACGTCGCGCCGCGAGAGCGGCGCCACCTTCTCACCTGTCACGTACTGCCGCACCCCATCCCGTTCGATGTAGATGCCGGTGATCTCGAGAGACCTGCACCTCCACGCGCTCCGCACCGCCGCGCCGATCTTCGCGCGGGCGGCGCGCATATGCGCACCCAGGCCGCTCGCGCGCCGTCGCGCAGAGTCGCGCGTTGCTGACGCAAGAGGCCGTGGGCGAGCTGCTCCCACTTGATCGCAGGAGCAGCCGCAGGTGCCGCAGCCTTGTTCTGCCGGAAGTTCTTTCAGTGACGACCTGATCGTACGGCCAGTAGGAAGGTGTCCTTCCATCGTGTGCACGCTTCTGACGCAATGCGCGTCACCTCGGATTGGCTGCTGGCACTCTCGAGGCTATGCCTACACAGCCTCGCGCGCATGGGCAGTCAAAAGGGACCACGCACTTCTCAGGACAGCGCCGGTGCCTCTCTCTTGGACCGGCAAACTTGGTGGTATCGTGTCACCAATGTGGGACCAGTGCGGCATCGCGCCATCGACAGCTCTGAACTGCGCCTCACCACTGACCGGGAAGGCCGCCAAGTGGGCCAGCACAGGTCGCACATGTGGCAGCAGTCAGCAGCGCATGTCTGATAGCTAGAGCAGCAGCGTCAGGGTCGCAGGGTCGGATCGTGTCAAGCCTCTCGCCCGGCCGGCCGCGTGCAGACGTCGGCCTGTCTGCTGTCTGGAGTGATCTGTCGGCGGTCAGTACGACCGATCAGGTTGGAGGTTTCTCATGATTGGAGGGTCTATCTGTGTGTACTCCTCGAGATCTCTCCAAATCTGCCCTCTAATCAACCGTAATCATTCGGGAAGTTGGTGCTCTGAGCGACTCTGAGCGCCGGAGCCCCGTTTCCGCACTGCGGCGCGGCGCACGGTGTGGGCCGGGGCCCCCGCGCCGGCCCAGAGTTAGGGACAGTGTCCCGGCGTGGTAGATAGATAGATAGGAAGGCGAAACACAGTCCGACCAACGACTGGGACACCAACGCGGTATGGGTGGACGCAAGACGGGCGATGACGGTCACACACAGGAGCGCGACGACACACAGAACCACAAGACAAGACACCCAGCCGGCGTGGGGAAAGGGTTAACGCGCACAAAGCTTCAAAGGTACAAGGCTCAAGCTTTTTTACGACTGCAGATTCAATTCCTCTCATTACCAGGTCAACCCGCCTCCTCCCGACGACGCGGAGTTACGTGCCAGCCGTGCTAGGTAGCGATGTGCGCGCTCGTTGTGCTGCACACGCCGTCGTTCACACCCACGCTGAGCGCTTCGGCGCTCGGAGGAGCCCGGACAATATCCCGAGGTCGGATGCACCTTGAGCGTAGCGAGTTGCCTAACGCCGGTTCATAGGTACCCAGAGAGGCCCAGCGGTGCAAAACGAATCAGCCAGTCGTCGTGGAATCTTGCAGCGTAAAAATCGTCCACCCTCAGCCGCAGCTCCTCAAACTCTGCCCTCAACTCCCTGACGGTGCCGGCCCTACTGTGGGTGACAACGCCGAGAGAATTCACGCGCCTGGGGATAGTGAACTCGAGAACGATAGTGGGCCTGCATCGTCGAAGGAGCTTGATACCGCCCAGCAGGGCCTGCTTTTCCATGAACTCGCAGTCAAGCCACATGAAGCCCACCTCGCCGATCACACCTTCAGCACACATGGTGTCCAGACGACGAAAGAGCGAGCCGCGTGCTGCTGGCCGCCACTGCGAGGCGCCCGAGCCTCCGGTGCTGTCTTCGTGGGAAACAAAGCGGCCGTCCTGGCTGCTAAGACCGACACTGATCACTCTCACGCTATCCTCGACCCCGTTGGCCCAAGCCATGCGGCGGATGAATTGGCACTTGTCAGCCGCTGGCTCGATGCAGTACACTGTGAGATCCCGCCGGCCGCAACGTTGTAGGGCTAATGCGAGCGGAACGCCATAATCCCCGATGTGCGCCCCACAATCGATCACCCCGCTTCCCTCTGGGAGTTGGAGGACATGTCGCAGCGTCGCCGCCTTCTGCGCACGCTGCCAGTCCGGACCTGGCCAGTTTGCTTCTGTGAAGGAGCTCTCTTCCCAGGTAAGGCTCCCAGGGGCGCAAGGGTTGGTCAAAATGCACTGCTGGGAGAGCGGAGCAGCGACCCGAGCCCCTGATATCCCTTGCAGCTGAGGTCTTCTTAGAGGATGCTGCCCAGTGGGCGTCTCCAGGCGTTTGAGCCGTGCGCGCTCTCGGCCTGCCCACCGGGACAGAATACTGGTGGCTGCACGCCTGCGGACCTGCTCAAAGTCGCTGCCCTGCTGCTCTCCCATCTCACTGCACGGGGTATAGCCTACCGCCGACGCCGACGCCTTGATGTCACCGTGACCAAACTCGCCGGTGCGGCAGACGCTCTGCTTAGCGAGGTTCGGCACCACGACGAGGGCGGAGACGGACCGCAGCCAGATGAGCCGAGACAGGTGGACGTCAGCGGGCCCGCTGACCGGTAGATGGCGCAGTAGCACGCGGGCTGCTGCGGGCCAGATGACGTAGGACGAGGCGCACCAGACGTACCGTGCTTCGCGGAGTAGAAGCTGGCCACCGCCACTTCCGCAGCGGGGCACGCGGGAGACATCTGGGCTACCCCACGCCGCCACGTCTGCCCCGAGATAGAGCAGGAGCTGCCGGCGCTCCGGAGCGAGCGCTGCTTGGACGGCATGGATGAGCGCGGCGCAGCTGTGGCCAGCGTCATCAGCCAGCTCGACGTCGTCTTCAAGCACCAGCACCGGCGGCTGATCGTCGGCGAGAGCAGAAATCTGAGCCCACAGCAGGAGGTGCGACATCGAGCACCCGCGCTCTCCTGCGGACATAGCCACAGCACCCTGTGCCACGCTATTCCTGTCGAACCGCGCATTGAGAGTGCAGTCGAAATGCGTTGTGCAGGCCCACGGAGGCGCGTCGCCACCGGTGCACGCGCAGAATCGGCGAGCGCCCCGCAGGCCAGCGCGTTCCAGGCTCAGCTCCATCGCTGACCGCCGGTCTGCGCGGTGCTCCAAGTTGATGTAGATGACGTCGAAGCCCACACCGGCAGGGTGTCCAGCCTGGGGACATCGAGCGTCAGCCACGCGGCGCAGCTCTGCCAGATACGCCTCCTCGGGCTCCCTTCCCGCGCCCTGACCGTCAGCCGGTGCAAGCGACGACAGCTCCAGCACGCCTGCCTTGTCTGACGAGGCGTTCATCACTGCCCGCCGAAGCGCCTCCCTAGCGGTCTTTGCTTTCAGCGATCCGCGGCCAGCGGGCGTGGGTGCCTCCGCCATTGTCGCCAGCGGGTGCCTCCGCCAGCAGTGGCCGAGCCACAACTCGCCGTCTACCCGGCCCTCACGGAATCGGTCCCCGTTGCACAGCAATCGATCCTTCACAGCTGCCCGCCCTGCCAAACTTGCTGAGAATCGGTCCTCCCACCTGTGGCGCGACGCTGGCATATACCGGTATGTCTCCCACCCTCGGCGCGCCTACCACGCAGCGGCGGCAGACCACCCTCCGGTTCGAGGGGCGCCTGGGGCTGAGCGGGCTGCCACCCACCGCCAGAGTTTGGCTCGCCCACGGCAGGAGGACACCTTTTGCCCTCAAAAGTCGTTCGAGAGTACCGGGTCGCGGCGGGAACGCGCCCATCCGCTCGATGGGTGTCAGGAGTCGATCGCCTGCGCCAGGAGCGAGCACGGGAGTCGTCGCGAGTGTGTGTCGCGCGCCTTGCGGGGGGGGCGCGGAAAAGAGGAACCTCTTAGCGCCATCGCCACGGTGCTGCAAGCAGCGCCGGGCGACGACGGCTTACCGCCTCCCGGTCCCCCTCGGCACACCTCCGCTGCTTAATGTTTGGCGACTCGAACCCGTGAAGCTTCCCCGTGCGCGGGCTACCCCGCACACGGGTCAGCCTGCCAGCCACGTATCCACGCAAGCGTGGTCCGCGCGCATGGCATACAGGCGTTCGCCAGACAGCGCAGAGGCTAGGCGACCGGGGAAGGACTAGCTCAAGGGCAACACAGCGTCACCAGCCGTTGGCGCGCAGAACGAGTCTGCGGCCCCCGGTTGGGACGAGTGCGCGACGCGGACGAACCGCTCAATGTGGCCGGCAGCTCGCGCTGCCGGCGGGGTTGGTTGGGGAGAACCGGCACGGGGAAAGCCGACCTCCCCGCGATGGGAGTCGTAGCGGCGTGGCGCTCGGCTTCGAGAGAGCGACGTGAGGTCCACACCTTCGGGACGGGCAGGCTCGATACGGCCGCTGGCCGGGGCGGCCGCTCGACCGGCCGCCGCGGTCGTTCCGGCGGCGGCGTCGGCGTCGGCGCCGCGAGCGAACTGGCTCGCATTCGACGAGCGACCCTCTTCACAGAACCCGGACTGCCACCTCGTTGTACTGCTCGTTGCATGAGGGGTGCGACGAGGGGGCGATGGTTGTGATCACATCACAGGGCACACCGAAAGGACACAGGGACGTATCACGTAAGCGGCCGCGACTGGGGGGTAGACAGGGAGAGGTGCGGTGTACTAGCTCTCGCACGGTCTACCACACATGAACCAACCTCTCCTTGTAGTGCAAAAATTAAAGAAAAAGCACCACCGCTAGGGCGTTCCCCGAGGGTGCTCTGGCTGTACACGTGGTGCAAAAAGCATGCAAGTGCACTGCTTACTCACGGCGTGCCATGCTGCGTGCTTCGCTTCTCCTTCTCTCGGCTCGCAGCGCCTATGCCCAGCCTATGGCTGGTGACAAGTGCACATTCGACGCGACCGCCGGAGAGCCGTTTGAGTTCGGCGCGACCTTTGACGTCAGCGCGTCGAACAAGCAGACGTGGGTCGCTCAGGCCGTCATCTTGAAGCAGTACAACGAGGCGCTGAATGACGATGGCGAGGTTATCGGGTGGCAGGAGAATGTGGTGTACGCCGACCCGGAAATGAAGATCGTCTTCTACCCGACGACCGGCACGGCAGAAGAACCCTTTGAGGCCGTGCACGACTGCGGCGCAGGCGTGATCGAGCAGGACCGTGAGACCTGCCAGGATGTGGCTGAGGGCTCCACGATCACGATTCCGCCTACCACCGGAGCGGGCGCGACCCAGCCATTGTGCTACAACATCAAGTTCGCCACGACCAAGCTCACCTCAGTGTTCCACCTCGTCACGACGAACGTCGACTCCGTCGCAATCTTCGCGGAGCATGACCCGACCGAGTTTGAGCGCGGCGGGATCGGTGGCATCCACTACCTCATGGACGTCGACACTTCTGCCATGGGCGACGACGCTGCCCTCGTTGCCCTTGGTGCCGCAAGCCCCATCGAGCCCGTCTTCCAGGACGGCGTCGACAACGCGCCCGAGAAGGAGAAGCCGTGGGGCCTCGCGATCGGCACGAGCTTCCTCGTCAACGCCTGCACGCTCATCGGCGTCATCTTCCTCGCGCCGGCGATCAAGAAGGTCGCCGACAAGAACCCGACCACCATGTTTGCGCTCGCCAACGCGTTCGCGGCCGGCGCGCTCCTCGCCGCCGCCTTCTACCTGATGCTGTACGAGGCCACGCACCTGATCACGGACCCCGTCGACACGGCCAAGTCGGAGACCGACGCAGATGGCGAAAAGACGTGGTCCGTCGAGTCGAAAGAGGCGGGCCGCTCTGCCTGGTGGGGCACGATGATCCTCCTCGGCTTCATCTCCGCCAACATCTTGGAGACCCTCGTCCAGGCCGCCGTCTCGAAGACGTCCATGGGCAGCAAGACGCCGGACGAGGAAGATGTCAAGCCGGAGGTCGCGCCGACGACGGCGAGCCTCACGACCAAGGTGCGCGTGCTCTGCGGAATCCTCCTCGGCGACTTCATGCACAACCTCGTCGACGGCATCTTCATCGGCGCCGCCTTTGTCGGCTGCAACGAGACCGTCGGCTGGACCATCGTCGCCGCCACCATCTACCACGAGCTCGCGCAGGAGGTCTCCGACTACCTCGTCCTCACAGACCCGATGCAGGGCAACCTCAAGCCGTTCACGGCCCTCGGGCTGAACTTCATCTCGGGCCTCTCTGTCGTCCTCGGCGCCATCATCGTCGTCGGCGCCGACCCGGGCGACAACGCAAACGGCCGGCTCCTTGCCTTTGGCGGCGGCGTCTACGTGCAGATCGCCGCGACCGAGTGCTTTGGCCGCGTCAACAACACGGTCAAGACGATGGAGATGCGCGTCGGCACGATCCTTGCCTTCGCCTTCGGCGCGACCGCCATCGGCCTCGTCCTCCTCGACCACGAGCACTGCGTGCCCGACGGCGGTGGCCACGCCCACTGAGCGGAGCCTGCAGGACTCCTCCTCCTCCCCAACTCCCGTCGACCGACTCCTCTTGCCAAAGGTCGCGTGCCACGCTTCACCCGTTCGACCTTCCCCCCGCCCAGCCGGTCGATGGGGGTTGTGTGATAGAGAGCGCTCCTGGGGGCTGAGCCGGGGGGGGGAGGGCAAAGGAGGCCCCCCGCCCCCCGGCCCGAAGGGACGGAGAACGGCCCACCGCCACGGCGAGGGGAAGGGAGAAACGGAAAAACACA